TCTCAATACATGAAGGCAAGTCCCAACTAGATTTGTTTATGAAAATGTGAGAGCAATTTTGATATCAATCAGTGTCTCTCTGTCTATGGTCTTTGGTTATCCATGTCTGATGGGATGTGGAGGAGAAGATTTTCTTATATATGCTATATGAAATAGTTCGAGGATTTAAAGTTTAAGATTCATAATTACATTGGAGATTGTAACGTCTCTTGATCTTAATTACGACGTCACTGCATTCAAGAAACTTAGAATTTGAGGTGTTAATGCCCCCAAATCACTTAGGCATGAGAGACTTGTGGGAGAAGATGAGACTCAAATCGAGTTCCTGGTTTGGGAGTTAGAGTCGGATTTCGGTCTAAACAAACTAGTTTCTTAAGAAACTTAGGGTATGTTTGGTTTGTGTTTGAGAGATGTGTTTTAGAGATAAAAAGTACGAAAAGTTGTTTGGTTTGGTTTTTTTCAAAAGATGTTTTGGAAAATTATTTTGAGAGAGAGTTTTGGAAAAAGTGATTGATTTGATGTGTGTGAGAGAGAGATTTGTTTGGAAAACTTGTTTGGTTTACAAGTTTTGAGAAATTTTTTTGGAAAAATTTGTTTGGTTTGATTACTTTTAAAAACTTATTTGTAGAGAAAATTTCCCAAAAAATTTTTTCAGAAATACAAACCAAACGAACCCTTAGAATTCGAGGTGATGATACCCCAAAATCACCAAATGGAGTTGGACTAGCACGAAACTTGGTACACACGACCGCCTAGGCACGAAAGACTTGTGGGAGAAGATGAGACTCGAATCGGGTTTTCGATTTGGGAGTTAGCAACAGATTTCAATCTAGGCAAACTAGTTTCTTAAAAAACTTAGAATTCGAGGTGTTGACGCCCCAAAATCACCAAACGGTGTCGGATTAGCATAAAACTTGGCACACACGACCGCCTTGGCACGAGAGACTTGTGGGAGAAGACGAGACTAGAATCAGGTTCCTGGTTTGGGAGTTCGAGCCGAATTTCGGTCTAAGCAAAATTATTTACTTAATTATCTTTGTAATTGTATAATAATTAAATTTTTATGTTTTTTTTTTGTAATTAGCATATTAACACATAATTATATTGTCATTAATTATTTTTGTTTTTTATTTTCAGATATTTCTCAAGTAGGAGTTTGCTTCTTGTGGAATGCATGCTTGTGAAGAATGCGACTAACTTTTATTTTTGTTACCCACGGAGAATGATGAGAAAATTTTTTGTTTTTGATTTATGTGATTTTGAATTGTGAACAACATTATTAAACATTATATATGTATTATGGAACATTATGCAGTGGGATAATTTTTGTTGATGTGTAGTTATGAATGCAAAAATATTTTTATTATGGAGAAATTGCTATTTCTATACAAGAATTTTTATATTATTATGCAATTATTGGTTTCTTTTTCTTTTTTTTTATTTAATATAGTTTTTTTTTTGCGATAGTACCACACCGTCGCAAAAAACATTGGAACTAAAATCTATTTTTTTGGTGACATAGGCAATGTTGTCGCAAAAGAAATTGGCGACAAAGGTCATGCCGTCGCAACAAAAAAATATTTCGCGACAGTATTTTTTTTTTGCCATCTCAAATAAAACTTTTAGCGACGGCACAACATTGTCGTCGCAAAAGGTCTCAACTTTTTACATATTATAGGCGATAGTAAAATGCCGTTGCAAAAGGCCACATTTGCTGTCGCAAAAAAAAATGCGACGGTACCATGCTGTCGCTAAAACATTTTAGCAACGCCCTCTGTTGTGACCCCCCCTTTGTCGTCGTTAAAAGTCATTTGTCGTCGCTAAAAGTTTTTTGAGACGCCAGCCGTCGCAAAAAACTGAAATTTTTGTAGTGAAAGTGTTGTTGAAACGATATGACATATATAGAATATCAAAGAATAATTTACAAATTTGAATGAAAAATAAAATCTAGGTTTTTCGAAGTGAGATCTTACTTTTTTTCTCTATGTTTATGAATCGGAAATGGAAAACTATGAAACTTTTTTAGAGTCATGATGGTGTTTGAACGTGATGGTTTTTCGTGTTGTTGAGAGTTGTTGATTGGAGAAGATGAATGGCTTTTTGTTGTAGTTAGGGTTTCAAAGGTAGTGGAGTCGAACGGTGTAGAGATGAAGAACTGAAAATGCAGAATCAAGCAATGGAGATGTGATAGTGGAAGGATCAGAGTGGTGTGACATGATCGTAGGTAAAGGTTATGTGCATGTAAATTAGGTGATGTGTGAGGGTATTTTTGTCTAATTGCCAATTTGAGGACCTAATGAACTATTGAATTTGTTTTGGGTCTAAATGGGGCATGATGTGTTGGGCTTGAACCTTTGGGTCAGTTGCCCTTATAATAAGGGCGCTCTGTCCAACAATCTAAATAAAAATTTAATTTGTTTAAAGATCCACGCATTAAAATATCATGTCCATAAGGACGTACTTTTACAAGAGGACTAAATTAGCCCTTCAATAATCACGCACCTATTTTTTTATTTAGTTTCACATCTCTTATCTATTCAAAATAAACCATTTAGTACTCTCTCTCTCTAAAACCCCCAAATTACTTACATCTAGTACTCTCTCTCTCTCTCTTTCTCTAAAATCCCTAGTTTTCTCTCTCTAAAACCCTCACCATCATTGATGGCCAATCTGGCTTCTTCAACTCCTCTCTTCTCGATGAAATATAAAACCACCCCTCTCTCTCTCTCTCTCTTTCCTTCTTTCTTCGTAGCTGTCGCGGCTACCGACTGCGAGGAAGAGACGACGAGTTCAATCATCCATTGTCGTTGAGTTCAAGTCTTAAGCTCTGAGCTTCGACATGGTCGTCAAAGGAACCCTAGTTTTCAGCTGGCAATCACCTGGCCGGAGCACATTTCTTACTCTAACACTTAATTCAATCTGTTCGGTGAGGTTGTTTTCTAGATCTCAGTGTGCTAGGGTTCCAAATCACACTTCAATTGTGTTCTCTTCTCTCTCTCTCTCTCTAGTTTTTATGCAATACATACATATACATATATTTGCATGCTATTTTAAATTATATGTAAATGTTTTCTCAAATTTATTTGTTTCATTATTCTGTTCAAACATATCAATATCTCTCTCTCTCTCTATATATATTTGTATGCATAATCGTTGATTTCTTGTTTAATGGTTGATTTTTATTGGTTGCTACTATCTCTACCACCACCGTCTCAAAATCATCGTCCTTCAGCTACACTTGGTTCATCATTGTCGTCGTCGTATCTGGAAGTGCCATCGTAACGAAGATCTAGACAAGGATGATTAGGTACACGTTTGATTCGATGACTACGAGAACAAGGATGAAGAAGAGAAAGACGAGCGTAGGAGAGAGAAGAAGTTGAAGCTGCTACTCAACCTTCAGAGTAAGATGGTAATAGTGAGTCAACTCTGAGTCAAACTCAGTGTGTGGAACACATGCCTTTTGTCTCGGCTTCCTCGTCGGACCACGGAGATGCCGATAATCCACCACCACTACTGACCTCTCCAACTTTCTCTCTCTCTCTGGATCGGTACTAGTCCACCTTAATGTTTGCAATCTAACCTCCATTAGTGGCTACACTTACTGGCTTGGCTTCGGAGTCTACCATTCTCAAATCATGTGGTTAATGGAGCTAGAATAAAAACTATCTATGAACATATATATATATTTTTTGTTAAATAGATTTGTAACAAATCTATCAACATTTGAACAGATAATGGCTTAGATCTGGTGTGTGGGTGTGTGGTGGATCTGGATCTGTGGAGAAGGCCACTAATTTGTTCAATTGAACAAATCCCTACTTATTTATTTATTTATTTATTTTTTAGCTGTTGATTATTATTTTTAGTTGTTGATGATGATGTTGATGATGAAATAGATATAAGATAAATTTTGAATAGATAAGTGAGATTTGGTTCAAATTTTGAACAGATATAGGATAAGGTTGCTCAAAATTTGAACAAATAATAATAGTTTGTGAATTTTTGTGTAATATTTTAGAAAGAAATGTATTGTTGTTGATGAATAGAACATAGAAATGCAGAGAGAGAGGGAGAGAGAGAGAGAGAGAGAGTCGGTTGTATCCATATATATATATATTATTTGGTTTGCAAGAAGTGGTTTGGATTTGAAATTTTGAAGAAGCTTAGATCCAATGCCATGGAGGTGTAGGAGGACAAATAGAAAGAAGTGGTGGTGCACGAGAAAATTATACCGATAAATTTGTATAGATATGAAAATTTGTATAGATAAATTTGGATAGAAAATTTGTATACATAAAAATATTTGAACAGATAAAATATTAGAAAGGTAAAATTTGGACAGATAAAAAATTACACAGATAAAATTTGGATAGATAGAAAATTTATACAAAAAAATTGGACAAATAGAAAATAATTTGAATAGATAGATAAAAAATTGAACAGATAGAAAATAATTTGATCAAATAGTCAAAAAAAGTCAACATATAAATTAAGGGGCAAATTTGGAAACAAATATCATTCAAAACAAGTAAAATGATTTCTCCCTAAACTATTTTACAAATGGTGAATCTCATACTAATAAAAAGAATACACTAGATCTAATATCTTAGACACCCTCTAAATTGGATTTATTACTAATTTTCTTTTATAATAATAAGTTCTTTGTTAAAAAAATAATAATGATATTCACCATTTTTTAGTTTCAAAATAAACTACTAGAAGCATAACATGGAGGATTTATATAATTTTTAAAATAGAAATTAAAACCAAAAATTAATTAAATACAGAGTTGTGGATCAAAAATTTTGTAAAGGTCAGAGATGTTTGTTTTGGCCTGTTTTCAAAAGGGATGGTTTTCCCGCTTCCCCATAAATATTTGAGGGTCAGACTGATTATTCTTTCTGAATTCGGATCCTCGGCCGCTCTTGCCGGCCGCCCTTCCAGCAGCCCTCCAAAACGACGTCGTTTTGGAGGGGTTTTTTTTTTTTTTTTGCCAAATTTAGAGAGAGAAAGCAGAGAGAGAGAGTGACAGAAATGGGGTTGAACCAGTAAACTTGTTGTTTGCCAAATTGATCACAGAGGCTAGTGAATTCCCCAGATTTGAAGGCAATTGACCATCAAAATTGTTGTTGTTGAGAAAGATCGCATCAAATCTTGCGTCGAAGAGGGATTCAGGAATGGGGGAAATTTCAATTTAAATAAAAAAATAATAATAATAATAAAAAAAAAAAAAACCAAGACAGATTAAGGGGGCGTCTTCTATGCCTGTTCGGTCTGCTGAAATGAATGATCTTCTATGCCTCTTCTATGATAATCAGCAGAAGACAGACTATTTGTGGTGAAACCGAACAGGTTCTGTCCTTCTCACCCTTTCTTCCTCTTTGACCCTCTCACCCTTTCTTCCTCTTTTAACCCTTTTTTCTTCAGACCATCAATGGAAAACCCATCAAAATTAAGCTTAGATCCAGAGGACTTGATCCAAAAAAATAATCAATAATTAAATGATTTTATGAACAGATCTGAGAGTCCCTCTTACCCTTTCTTCCTCTTTGACCCTCTCACCCTTTCTTCCCCTTTAACCCTTTTTTCTTCAGACCATCAATGGAAAACCCATCAAAACCCATCAAAATTAAGCTTAGATCCAGAGGACTCGATCCAAAAAAATAATCAATAATTAAATGATTTTATGAACAGATCTGAGAGAATGGAACAGTTCAGATCCAAAAAAAATAATGAATGAACTTTAAAATTAAGGCAAAAACTATTCAGATCTATCATTCAAAAAATAATAAAAATCATATTTAAAACAATATACTCTTCGAATCAACAGATCAACAACTATGTCGCAAAAAAGTAATTTTTTTTTTTGCAATCAATCAGTTGATTTCTTTGCAAATTGCAGGCCAATTTAGGTAGAGGAGGTTAGGGATGAACAGAGTTGGGGTTGGGAATGGGCCAGAGAAGTGGTTGTTGCTTAGGTCCAACTCTTTGAGTGATGAGAGGTATCGGAAAGTGTTTGGGACTGTGCCTATGAATCTATTATTGTTTAAGTGAAGAAAAGATAGATCAGTGAGGAAAGAGAGTTCTTTGACAAGTGTGCCTTTGTAAGAACACACATTTGACCCAACCCATGTCTCTAAAACCCTTTGTGGGTCATCTGTAATTGATGATTTCCATGTCTGCAAAGCAATGTAGGCATTCTTGAGATTTGAAGATGATGAAGTCCCAGATGGGGTTGTTGCGCTGCTGATTCCTCCACCAATCCATACACCTCCGCCGCCTCCGCCACCAATGCCGATGCTAACACCGAGGTCCAAACTTGAAACTTTTGAGAATGTTTGGAGGAGGAGAAAAATGAGAAACAAAGCGTTGTCCATTTTCAGGGGAAGAGTGGAGATGGGTATTTGATGAGTTTGTCTTGGAGTTGTGTTTTTTTTTTTTTTTTACTTTTTTAATGCATTGGTGATATTTTTAGTGGGATGAATCATTGTTGTTATTTCTAACCATATGTTGTGCAATTTAGTGGTGTTGTATTATTGTATTATCATTCTTAATAATTGTTTTTAACGTTAAAATTTGATATGCAGTAGTTTATGCTATTGAAATTAATTTTTAATTTCTTTCTAGAAAAATAATTATAACTCAAAATTTTGTTATACATAAATTTTGGATACATGTGAGCTCAATGCATAACCAAAGGACTTAATGCAATACAAAATGAAATACCTATAAATAAATAAAAATAAAATAAAATGTGAACCTACAGGTTGCCATCTAGTGAGAGTTCAACTCTAACAACTAAGAGGTTATTTGAGATGATCTAAATAAGTACACTTTTTATTTTTTTATAAAAAGATGTGTAGAAAAATAGAGAAATGATGTGATAAAAAAAAATAAAAAAATAAAAAGATGAATTATTTTTAAATCGTCAAACTTAACCTAAATCTATTGACGTGGCTTTAACCTCTTGATATACATCCAATCCACAACGCCTGTAGAGGGCTCTCTCTCTAAAAATATCGGCCTTGTTTGGTTTGTGTTTCCCAAAAATTTTTGGGAAAAATTCTCTACAAATAAGTTTTCAAAAGTAATCAAACCAAACAAATTTTTCTAAAAAAATTTCCCAAAACTTGTTTGGTTTACAAGTTTTCCAAACAAATCTCTCTCTCATACACATCAAATCAATCACTTTTTCCAAAACTCTCTTTCAAAATAATTTTCCAAAACATCTTTTGAAAAAAAACCAAACTAAACAACTTTTCGTACTTTTTATCTATAAAACTCATCTTCCAGACTCAAACCAAACATACCCATCAAGTTCTCACTCCGACCAAAATATCGACCATCGAGACTCACCAAACCTTGGAAAATCAATGAAAGAGGAAGATCATTTGATTAGAAGCACAAAGAAGATTAAAAGTACGAACACAACGAAGGAAAAAGAGATGGAGAAAGCAATAGCTATCAAAACAGAAGTCCTTAAAGAGGTGCCCAACACACAGAAGGTATCTACGGAACTTCCCCTTCCCAAATACTTCAAGGAAGCCCTCACTACAGTTCAAAATGGTGATTATCCTTTTGATGATGGAGTTCACACCCTGTCGTCTGATGAGGAAGATGATGAATAGAGAGGCATCTCTACAACTGCAACTGTCCACTTTGAACACATGTGCCTTTCCATGATTTCATTGCCTAAAAAGCTTCTGGAGAAAATTCGAAAACCTTGGGAGAATGCCCTAATTGTCAGGTTACTGGGAAAGAACATAGATTATAGGATGCTTTGCACGAGGGTTACAAAAATTTGAGCACTCCAAGGGGAGTTCAATGCAATTGATCTGGGAAGCAATTATTTCCTATTTAAATTCTCTGAGAATGAGGACTATACCAAGGTGTACACAGGACCGCTACCTCATAGTGAGACACTAGAAACCAAATTGCAAACCATCGGAAGCACTAGAAACCGCAACCGCAGCCTGGGTTCGGTTTACAGAGCTTCCGATCGAATACTATCAGGATAAAGTCTTATATGCAATTGCGAAATCAATTGGTAAACCTCTCAAGATCGACTAGACGACAGCTATGGCGTCTATGGGGAAATTTGCCTAGATCTTTATCGAAATGAATCTCACTAAGCCCCTGAAGCCAAAATTTATTTTGGAAGGTAGGTACTACAATATAGACTATGAATCTCTACACTCTTTTTGCTTCATTTGTGGAAGAATTGATCACTGTGAGGAAGCATGTCGATTCAAGGAGCCAATTAGCCAATCATCGGCGAAAAATCTAGCCGTTTCTGATAAGCAAATTATTTCCACAGGTATCTTTGCAACCAACGATAACCTGCAGCACAGACAGAATTCGGAGGAGAACTTTGGGCCTTTGACGTTAGCAACCAAAAAATGAAGAAGAGCAATCCAAAATAAAAAAGCCCAAGCACCAGTTGGCCCAACTCCACAACAGAATCAGAATAGATTCAAATATCTGGAAGAGGGCCAAGATGGCCAGGGGGAGAGTTCTAGGGGAAGGAAAACAACAAGGGTAGGGCTTGAAAAGGCCCAAGAAGAGCACAACCCACAGAATGGCCCACACCAATACAAAGACCCAAAAGGTAATGCCACGGTGGGTCTAGCCCAACACAAATCAGCTCAACCAGACATACAACAAAAGTAGTCCATTTTGGAACCAACGGAGGAGATAATTACGAACAAAAATAATGCAGACTACTGATTAGTGGTTGCATTAAGGATGTGACATTGGGTCTCACTCATTATTACATGTGTTTATTGTCTTAATTTTTATTTAATTTTTTTATTTATTTATCACATCATTAGTGATGATATTAGTGATAGAAATTTAGTGATTTGTAACATTGTTAAATTACGAATCGAGATAGACAGGAAGAACTTGTCAGAACCAGTAGCCTGTGAGCAAGAAGAAATTACCAGGCGCAATAATGGCCACCAGTCCCATTCAAACCCTTTTGACATAAGCTATTCCTTGATATCTTCTACACGCCAAATTGACTCAACCATGGTAGAGACAACCCATCTACAAACCCAGTTGGTACAACAAACAACTAAAACAGCTACAAATACTAACTCCAAAGATTACTGGAGGAGCGACCCAATCCCTCAAGATCTTGGTGACTAGAGAGATGAAGAGACAAGAGCAGATGACCCAAGAAAAGCAGAAACTAGAGGTGCAAGAACATGTGAAGCAGACTAGTGCAATGAGTCTGTTGTTCGAAGCAGAGAAAGAAGCAATTCACCTCGTCGCTTTCGTTTGGTCGATAGAACAAATCCACCTGACAATAGAACCAAACTGGGAGAGCAACGCAGCAAGACCATTCCACTCGGTTATCCCTCCATGAGTTCAGTGGAGGACGATCATCGGAGGGTACGCAACATTATTAGGGATTTGGCGTCTGACCCACCTAATTTTCCATCCATGGATTTGCTCAAATTGCTCTTTTGGAATTACCGCGGTGCCGGCAATAAAATTTTTAAGCGTAACCTCACAGAGATTATTCGTTCACATAAATCAGAAATTTTGATCCTCATAGAGACTAAAATTCCCTACAGTAGAATGGGAAACTTCTTCCATTGCTTGGGCTTTACAGTTTCTACCATTGTGGACCTTATGGGTAGAGTTGGTGGGATATGGATAATCTGGGACACTAAGTACGTTAATGTGAGGGCTTCCTCTGTTAGTTCTCAAGTTATCCATACAACTGTCCACAAGGAGGACTATGAAGAATGGGTCCTAGCCACTTTTTATGCTAGCCCAAACCCTATTCTAAGAGAGGCTTTGGTGCCGTTTGGAAGAGTTCTTTTGGGCTTTTTTGGCTCTTTGAGTCACAAAAGACAGAATAGGCTATTGGAGGCACAACAGATAAAATATTACATTCAACCCATAATTGTTACATTATTCTCTCACAAAAAAAGTCAAAAAATTAAAAAGTCCTTCCCAAACTAAACTTTTGAGCCTAGGCTCAAATAGTCGAAAAATCAAAAAGCTAATCCACTTCCCAAACGCAGGCTTTATGGAACGAGTTGGACGAAGTAGCAGAGAACATGGAAAAACCATGGCTAGTAGCAGGAGACTTCAACGATTATGCAAATCGGAGTGAAATAAGGAGTTTTTCAAACAGCTAAAGCACAACTAGGACTCAGAAATTCCTTGAAAGAATTAACAATTGTCACTTGATCGATTTGGAAAGCTCAAGACCCAAAATGACTTAGACTAACAACAGACAAGGACTCACTAATGCTATGGAAAGATTGAACAAGGTGATGTGCAATTCTGATTGGAGAACTTTGTATCCCGAAGCAAGTGTGAAAGTGCTTCCCAGAGCATATTCAGATCACTCTCCTCTCATTGTGTACATTGAAGATATGCACTCTCTTAATCCTTCAAATAGACCGTTTAGATTTGAGGCTGCTTGGATGTCTCGTACTGGCCTTTTGGATGTTATTAACTCCTCCTGGTCTGATATGAATCATAAACTTCTGGATTCCACTGCTGAATTTACTGTTAGAGTTAGAAAGTGGAATAGAGAGGTTTTTGGAAATATTTTTAAAAAGAAAAGACAGTTATTGGCTAGAATTGAAGGCATCCAAAGAGCCTTGACTGATAACTTTAGAGAAAGATCTTATTACCCAGTATAATAATGTTCTACTGTAAGAAGGGATGTGGTTTCAAAAATCTAGATCTAAGAACATTACCCTTGGGGACAGAAACACCAGATACTTTCATATTTCTACTATCACTAAGAGGAGAAAATTGAAGATAAATGCCATTAAAAATAATGAAGGTAATTGGATTACTGAGAAAGATGGTATTGTTAGAAATATTATTGATTATTTCAATGACCTTTTCAAAAAAGAGGTTATTCAACATTTGGGTCATTGGAAAAACATGACCATAACCTATTTTACTCAGGAGGACAATAAGGGCATGCTAAAGCCCATAACTAATTCTGAAATTTTGAAAGCTGTTAGAAGCATTGGTGCCTTTAAAGCACCAGGAAAAGATGGTATTCAAGCTTTATCCCACTAGAATTACTGGAAAATTGTAGGACATTCTATGTGTGAATTTGTTAACTCCTGTTTCCAAACTAATAGGGTTCCTGATGAAGTTAATGAGACTCTTATTGTCCTGATCCCAAAAATTGAGAACCCTGATACAATCAAACAATTAAGACCCATAAGCCTTTGTAATGTCACCTACAAAATTATCACTAAAGTTATTATGGGAAGAATTAGACCTCTTGGATACAGTCATTAGCCCTAATCAGAGCAGCTTTATTCCTGGGAGAAATACCACTAATAATATCATAATCACCTAAGAAATCCTTCACACTCTGAGATGCAGAAAGGGAAGAAGTGGGGGTATGATTTTCAAAATTGAT